CGAGTTAATGGAGAGGGGAGACTCGTCACGACCAGCTCATTTCTAGGATCCGGGTTAATGATCCGGATGAATCAGGACTCGCTCATCTCTAACTGCCGTGCCATGGTCAGCAAGGAGAATGAGGACCTGCGTGCCAAGGAGATGCACGACGAACGGCTGATGCATTCACACAAGGCCCAGGAATCGGACGACCAGCTGCTCATGGTGATGCAGCGCCATGCTGACTCAGTGTACCTTTCAGGCTGGGCTTCTGGCAGTGCTAAGCGAGCTGATTAAATCCAACAGGCCTTCAATACAAAAATTAAGAAAAACTTGTCGTCGTTGATAAACTGTACAATGACTTGTTGGGAGGCGTGTGGTGCAGTGATGTGGTGCGTTGGTGTTCGGATCAGGGGAGCACAGGTTCAAACCCCACTGCAGTCAGGATGTCGTTGTGTCCCTGGGCAAGACACTTCACCCCAAATTGCCTACACCTGGGACAGTTCATTTTGTATTATTGTGATTATATATATATGCCACTGTTATTAATACTGGCACTTCACTTTGCACTAAGGTGTGTCTGCTGCTGAGCCTACCTATTGTTATTATATATATATATATATATATTGCCGCTGTTATTATATTGTTTTGATACTACTGACACTTATTGATCTGCTGCTGATAAATAAAAGAGAACCTACATGGCGATTAAACAGATCCTGTATCTTGCTTATTTCTCCTCTGACACTTTATCTTTACAGTGACCTGTGTAGCATCCTATACATCACATGTAAGTGATTATTCTGATACCATCATGTTTTCATCGGTTATAAACTGGCGAAGCTTTATTTATTCCCAAATATGTGGCTTTGAAAAAGATCATTTCATTGTGTTTCAAAATGGCGTCCATCAACACAAACACTATTTATAGAAAGAGAAATGGTTAAGTTTGTAATTACCAGTGTTGTGAGTTCAATATTTTAATTAATTACAGTAAGGGAACATCTTAGGAGTTAGTGTACTGAGTTCCTCTCAGGAGGATATATAATAAAGGTGTGTTAACTGCTGAGCCTATTTACTGTGCAATACTTTTTTCCATAATCACAGTTTTATTCATTTAGATTATGGACCTCTAAAACACATCTGCCACATCAGTTGAGTTTTGACATACCACAACCAGCCAGCCAGTCTTAACTTTGATTGTTATCCTAACCCTCAGAGAAAGAGACATGTGGTGTGTTGTCTTTTTTCACCTGTATGGTGTGGTTCTGGGCGACAACACACAGTGAAGATGATCTGCTGCACGGCACTAGCATCATGACTGTCTTTGTTTAAACCAGCAGCAGTGCAGCGGTACACAGACTAACCTGTGTGTGTGTAACGTAGTTCTTCAGGTGTGTATGCTTAACATGTATGTATTTATCACAGTAAAGATGGTATACAAAAGCTTTTTAAAGAGCTTTCAACCTCATCCCATTGTCTTTAACACACATTTAACATAATAATATACTCATATTATTATACAAATATACAGTATGAGTACTGTTTTGATACTGACATGTTATCTTTGCACTAAGGTGTGTCTGCACTATTGTAATTGTGTCTGTTGACTGTGGTAAATAAAAGAGAGAACCAAATGCACTGTACAAAAGATCAGCTTTATTGTCAATTTCCATGCTGTTCAGATGCCTCATAAGGGCTGTGCGCGTGTCTTGCCCCCCGGCGATTTTTTTAGGCACGGGTACACACTCCCGGTAGTTGGTGTTGCGTCTCCCCAACGTTGCCTCCAGGTGAATACAGAGGAGTTGAAAAGAGCCCTTGCTCTTTGATCCACTGCACATTGGTGTACGTTGGCACCACCTTCTCCCACCAGGCCGATGTTCTATTGTTCACCCAGAGAGAGCGCGGGACACGACGCGTTCCAATCACTCAGTATAACAGGCCTACTCTCTTTATTTGCTGTAGTTTAGTAGATATCTACAAACAAAGAGTCCATATTTGTCTAAAATCATTTAGTGCTTCACATAATAAAATACACAACGGCTGTATCCTGATATGATATGCTTTAGGAGCTGTAGGTGCGTGTTGTACAGTGTGTAGGTGTGTATGGTACAGTCAGGGGCGCCACCAGGGATTTTGGGCCCCATGAAAATATATCACATTGGGCCCCACCACCAGGCACAGGCCACGCAAACCAAGCACAATTGCTGTAACCACACCTCCAGAACCCAACCGACTCATTTATGCTTTAAATAACTCTACCTGTACAGGTTTGCATCTATCTTGTAGTCCAATACTAACTGCACAATATTTACTGACACTGAGCGGTGAAAATATAACACTGTGCAGACGTGCAACATTCTGCTGCAGTAGAATTCACTATTTGATATAACACTAACATTCCTGACAATAGATCTCAATAGTCATCTTTTATGGTGTACATGCCTTTTTAATAATATTTTTGAATGGAACATTCATAAATCAAAATAAATATAACTTAAATATACATGACCTCTTAAATTAAAATAAAGTGAACATTAAAGGTGGGGTAGGTAAGTTTGAGAAACCGGCTTGAGATACACTTTTTGTTATATTCCATGGAATGCTCTTAACATCCCGATAGCAATGAATATCTTAAGTGCTTTGACAAAAAATCCATAAAAAAATGTCATCTGTGGAAGCCGTAGTACTGTAAAAAGCACGACCAATCATTTTAGCCCGGCTAAAATAACTGGATGGCCTACCTGCCTGTCAGCCTTCCATCTGTGCACAAACTTATCTCGTGCCCTCATTGGTCATGTGCGCGTTCGTGTGTGTTGGAGGAGGGGCTCTGTAAGGAAGTGGCAGATTTTCTCCGGTTGTGTATTTTCAAATTCTAGCGATCTCGAGACGGTTTCTCAAACTTACCTACCCTACCTTTAACACCAATATTATCATTTATAAAATGCTATAACAAAAAAAATAACATAAGCAGCAGATTTTTTTATTAAATATACATACTACAAAATAAGCGGGTATTAAAGTGTAAATGGACAACAAAACAGAAATGGAAATGAAAAGGCCTGATGGTGGTGCTAAATCAGAGCCTATTACCTGTTCTCAGTCTTTTTCTCATCATGCATCTTGTGTGTAGTGATCCATATCGTTACCATAGCCTTGCCCTTTAACAGTTATTATGAGCCCTTGCTCAGCCTTACTCACCAAGAGCCCAGCGCCTAGCCTTCTTACAGGCAAAGTCACTGATCAAGTCCCTTGAAGTCCAGCTTTCTAGCCAACTGGCTTTCAATGGACAGCATGGCAAGACTGCAAAGCCTTATGGGGGGACAGGGCTGCTGAGCCTAGAGATGGATCTGTTGGTCCTGGCACCAGGGGGAGGGACAACTGATTGACTATGAATAGCTGCTAAAAATGTACCTGCATTTATTAAATGTCAGCTAAAAGAGCAGTGAAATGAAAAACCTCTGAATTTTCTGTGAAGATATTAACAGCTTTACTCGAGATTGAGAAACACCCAGGGTGTCGAGTAAAGCTGCTTCAGAGCCACTATTTCAAGCATACTACGTCATCGAGTGCCGCCGAAGGCCTGTTCCAATGTCCAGCATACTTGGAATTCTACCGAGCCCGGTGTACTTCGTTTGGAGAAATTTAGCTCGGAAGACATGTGCTACCAAGCAAGCATACTTGAGATTGAGAAACACCCCCACAGTGCTGCTGTGGGGGTGTTCCATTAATGATGTCTTTAGCCTGTCATCATTAATGGACGTCTCTTTAAAATGACCGCTCAGAGGAGAGGAGTTCTCATTTCTCTAACCGCCTGCTGCTTCCCCTCCTCTCTCCTCGGTTCCCCTCCTCGACTCCTCCGCTCGCATCTCCTGTGGGCGGGACTAAGTCTTGAGGATAGGAGTCGAGGAGGGGAGTTAGTGAAATGAGAAAGGGCCATAGACTAACGCGTTATATCTTCGGCGCATTGGACTTCTAGTTAAACTCTTGAGGAGTGATTCAAAGGTTGTGGGTTCGAGTCCCACCAGAGTCAAGGTTTTCCTTCTTTCGCTGCGAAGACTACAAGCCAAAAGAGCAAGCCGAGACGTATTAGAGATGCCATTTTAAAATACACGATTTGACTGGTTTATGTTGCCCTTACCTAAAATGCAGCTAGCTGACTGGTATATCTATCCGAGTGGTTGGTTTTAGATCAGGGTTAAATCCGTTGGCTATCCTATCCCTCTTCCTTTCCCTCTGTTTTTAGCATAGCGCGTGAGACACACGACATTGTAGGCTATGGAGGAATACAAATGACTTGCTGAAATACATACTTGAATATTTCAATTCACTAACTCATTGAAGATTGATTTAGTGATTGTTCTATTCAAATAGATGTTTGAATTAATTTGTTTATTTTAATAATTTAAGTATAATTTACTCATGTCATTTGTTTAGGTTGTATTCATGTATTGCGGTACGTATTTGTTCCTGATTGAGTGATTTTTCGCCCTTTTGAATAAATGTTAACTTTATTTTAGTGAGGGAAGTGTTTCTCATCAGATATTTTAAGAAATATAGACATAAAAACAAATGCAACATTTGCAAAGTTTATGGCGTTAACCAATATATTTGTTATTGTTAATGTATGCAGTGCATTCATTGTAAAAAAATAATGTGTGTGTGTTTATTTATTTTAGGATTTATTCATGTTAGTATTGATTTAATCATTCTTGAAATGTTTTGTACAAAAAGAGAATTGCTCTTTTGTTAAATAGGTGTTTGTGTTACACAGGATGAAAAAATGTCATGCGTCCATGACTGGAACATCTCTGTCGCTAATGTTGAATAAGTGAAACAGTGAAATGACTGAAGACACTTGGGCTGTTTGTAGCTTCAGTATATCAGCCGGAGACACGACGTACTCCATCCACTAGATGGAGGCTCATTTACAGTGTGGTCTGATCATCTCAAGTCAAACAGAGAGGCGGGCGAGAGCAGAGAGCACCAGCGAGAGAAGAGTCTGAGAGAGATCACTGATCATGGGGATGCTCAGGACATCAGTGGCCTTTCTTCTTCACGTGGCTGCTTCTTTGGCGGTAAGAAACACAAGCTCACTTCCACTATATCTCACAAGATACTATTCTAATCATTCCATGCATATCGTTTTTCTTTTACATGTGCAGCTTTTAGGATATTTATTTATTAACACAAAATAGGTGATTGGAATGACTTTTTTGGTGGTTATTTACAAATCCGCACTGCTCCTCCTGCTTTGGTGAAGGAGTTATGCAAACCTGCTCATATTGAAAAACATGTTAATGTCATTTTTGTTGTATTTATTGTCATTTTTCAAATTTAAAGCAATACCTGAAAACCAAACAGTCATAGAAGGAGTGTGTATCTTCACTGTTTACCATTCCTTGTGTTTGGTTCTGTGACATCTGATCTTGATAGTTAGGCAGGCTGCTTATTGTACTTAAACATGTTGTGTGGTTCCTGATCAAATAGAACATGCCTCTATTACAGTGCAGTTCTGACTATGAACCTTTGAGTGTCAGCAACAACCTCTCTGCCTTTTTTTGGATTGTCATTGTTTTTCCCTCAGCTCTTTGTTCATCAGTAAAACTGTCAAGTAGACCAACTTCTCTTTCCTGAGCCATTCAATTGGATTGTTGAAGGTTGCATACTAACTCAACAGTAAATTAAACATTATGCATTTCATCTTTTCATAATGGTTGCTGTTTGCATCCAGAAATAAGTAAGTATGAGCAAGATGTTGGTTCTGACTGTTTGCATCCTACCACTTTCAAATCCATGTTAGCCCATGTGTAGCGGTGACTAATGGTGTCCTTCTGGCTCTGTCCAGGCCCCGGTGCCGTGTGCAGAGACGGTAGTTCATCTGGAAGCACAAATCCAAGGTCTGAAGACCCTGATCAGCAACCAGCATGGCTACATCCAGGCACTCCACAACAGCCAGGCCGGGCAGCTGGAGCTCATACCCAGCTCCCACCTGGGCCCGGAGAACCTCTTTAAAGGTGGGGAGAGATTTCCATGACAGATACATACTTTGAATAAACTGTATCTGCCTTCACTTTCCTACAACGTGACAACCTAACTGCTTCTTTACCTACATACCAAGTTAGTCACATTCTAGGTATTAACCCTCTTTACCATACAGTATGTCCAGCCTGAGTCTTTACCTCGTGTTAACGCCATGCTAATTAGTATGGTTTTATAATCAGTGGATTAAATGACGAGTTGTATTGTTCAAAGGGGTTTGTTGTATTGGAAAACCTTGAGAGAAGAACAGAGAAAAGGTTTATTGAGAATCAAAGAACACTGTTCCCCTGCTGGTTTGTAAACAGAAGACTGTCAGGTCTTGTGTGGAGTTTCTCTGCATACAAGTGTCATGTATTCATTATAATACATGTGCTGCTTACCAATCAGCAGTTAGCATGTTGTAGCTTAGTCATGGCCCTGCAGCTGCTCCACAGGAAAAAACGTCACGCCGCTGAGATTCTCACAAACATTGTTGCTGTTTGCTTTTATTGTATCTAAAATATATTTAACTAACAGTTTGAATAGTTGACCTGGTGTGTATGTGTGTGTTCAGACTGCTCCGAGGTGTTTGCAGAGGGTAACATGGCCAGCGGGCTGTATGTGATCCGTCCACACGGCTCTCCCTCCTCACTCAGCGTCTACTGCGACATGAACCATGGGGGAGGGTGGACCGTCTTCCAGAGGAGGAGAGACGGCGAGGAGAGCTTTGACAGGTGTGTGTGTGTGTGTGTGTGTGTGTGTGTGTGTGTGTATGTCCTTTTTTACACACACAAAAATAGGAGTTCTACTCTGCATGTGTCAAATGACTTGGGATTGCAGGTAATTGTATAAGCAGTGTTTGCCCTGTGTGAGCAGAGCGTGGGTGGAGTACAAGCATGGGTTTGGTGACCTCTTCTCCCCTGATGGAGAGTTCTGGCTGGGGAATACAGCTCTACACAATCTCACCTCCACAGGTTTGTGTGTGTGTGTGTGTGTGTGTGTGTGTGTGTGTGTGTGTGTGTGTGTGTGTGTGTGTGTGTGTGTGTGTGTGTGTGTGTGTGTGTGTGTGTGTGTGTGTGTGTGTGTGTGTGATGGCTGCCTGTGTAACTCTGTGTCTTCTAGGGAACCACGACCTGCGGATCGACATGCAGGACTTTGAGGGTAACCAGCGCTATGCAGAGTACAAGAACTTCAAAGTTGATGACGAAAAGGTAAAACTACCCAAAAATAAAATAATGAGTATAAAAAAGTATAAGAAAAGAAAAAGTCACTTCTCATTGCAACAAAAACTAAATCCTTTAACAGGAGTCCAGATTTTAAATGAGCAGAAAAGAGATCATTTGATTCTCTTTAGTTGAATTGAACAATAGAAGTCTTCATACTGGATCGAATAAGTCAATCATATATGTGCACATCTGTTTGTGCTGTAAGCGTATTGAAACCTTCTCTCTGTGTCTCTTTCTGTCTTTCTCCTCGCCTTCCCTTTATTTCCCATAACACAGGGCTATTATTTAGACTAAGTATGTTGTTTGTGTTTGATGATCTCTGCTATGGAAAACACAGCAAGGCCGTCTGGCTTCAGGCCAGCTGCTCTGCATCTCTCCTTCTCTCCTTTCATCACTTTGCTTTCTCTTCTTTCTTTCCTTTCAAACTTTTAGCCCGTTTTGCTACTTGATTTTTTCTTCTGAACCTCATCAGCTCTGCAATCCACATATCATGTGCCAACATTTATTGCAGTCTTTTCTTTTGATAAATTAAATGTTTTGTATTTCTATATTAAAAGTTGGTTCCTCATTGTAACGGCAAAACTCCCGATAAAACTTGGCTTATACTCTGACGCGCTGCAAGAAGAGTCCGTGCTGAAGTTGTGGTTGATCATTTAATAAAGCAAATAACATAAATAATCATCTTAGCAGGACCATACGGTCTCACCCTCTCTGTCACCCACACAAGCACAACAGGTGCACTGAACACCTGACACCACACCCATGTGATAACTGCCGGAAGTGACCAATACTACCTGAGTGCCGTGTAAACAAATATTTACAATAACAGAAATAATAAGCTGTGGCAAAATAAGCATTTTGGCTCCTACACTCCTATGAAAGGGCTTTCCTGAAGTGTTTTGTCTCCTGTGTTCACTCAAAGGACCAGTACCAGTTACATGTGGGAGAGTACACTGGGAACGCTGGGGACGCCCTGGCTCATGTCCACAGCCCCCCCCCTGCCGGGAAGAAACGGACTGGTCCATTTCTTACAGAAGAACTCCCTGGGTCAAACGGGATCAAGTTCAGCACCTATGACCAGCTTAATAATGGAGACACGGAGAACCGCACCAGTTGCATCAGACACAGCAGGTCCGGCTGGTGGTTCAGCAGGTAGGTCCGTCACTCAGTAGAACCACACACGCAAAGAGAGGAACAACAAGGGGGCGAAGGTCAAAATGGCAATTTACACACACACAGGTTATACAGAAGGTACTGCAGGTCTTCTTCTGTCTCTCCTCGCTGCAGGTGTGACTCAGGAAACCTGAACGGTCACTACTACAGAGGGCCGGACCAAGGCATGGCTGATGACGGGGTGGTTTGGTACACGTGGCACGGCTGGTGGTACTCTATCAAATCTGTGGTCATGATGGTACGAGCTGCTGACCTCGAGCCTCCGCCACAGGTCATTGCCCCGTTACCAGGACGACAGGCCAGCAGCAAAGCAAAGGGCGACATCATTGAAGATCATCATGGCCGACTTCAACACTGAAAGCAAGAGAGGAGGCAGCGTGTCTCCTACTGCAGCCCAACAGCTTCCTGAAATCCCACACATCAAACATCATTCTATGTCAAATCTTTAAAGTCTTTCATCTAATGTTTGACTTGTATGTCAATTCTGCAATTATTTCAATATCCAAATAAAACAATGGTGCTTTTATCTCATATCCTTTTGTATTTATTTCATGTCCAAAATAAAACAACATGGTGAACTGAGGCATTTTAGGAACATCTGAGTTTTTTCACCAGACATATAAAGGTATTTTGGATTCAGTCAAATGAGCCAGTAATCGCTCAGTCGATGAGATTGTGGGAGATTCTATCTGTGGAAATGATAACTTGTGTGTTTTTCTGGTGCTTTTACATGGGATCCAAAGTAAAGACAGAAGTTGATCAGCCACTAGCTGAGCATTGCCTGGTTCCTGTTGGTCAATGAGACATGTCAAGGGGAAAGCAAAGGGGCAAACACACTTCTGCATATTTGGCTCTGAGATGATGTGTTAAGTCTCTGAACTGACAGCTCAGATCTAACATCCAAGGGTGACTACATTCCACAAAGTAGTTTCAGGTAGAGGTTGTGAGGAGCTTACACAGAGGAACAGATCTAAAGGTCAGTTCCTCAGATCAACAGAAGGACAATACGTTGTTCACTTCTTCCAGAGGTCCAAAGCAGATGAGGGATTGAGTTTTGCTCTTTGGGAAAAAGGTCCTCTTTAAAAGAAGGGGAATAGGCAAAACAATCCATGCTAATCCACCACGAAACACCCAAACCACTGTTTGTTCCCACAAACCTGCAAGAGGCTCAAGTCCAAGGTTTCTTCTCACCCGCCTCTTTAGAAAGAGCGGTATGAAATAACAGGATAAAAGGATCCTAGATTGTACAACATATCAGAACAAACATGGAAGGATAGTCATAACAAGAGTGAGGCGCCATGTACAGACCCTGAGGTGTGCCTGTTGTATGTTTTCTTCAGAAAAAGAAGAAAGGCTTATTGGAGAACTAGGCATTTGGTAGAGAGCATGGCCATTCCACTGTCAGACATAAGTGCGTCGGTGCCACTGCAAAGTCTTGACGCTTTCAGAACAAGCGTCTTTTATGCAATTTGTTCCAAATGTACAAGTTTATCATTAATATCCAACAACATTGCTGTGATTGAAGTCTTTCTCTGTGTTTGGAACAGCTCTGTCTTGTCCAGGCTGGTGGAGCAGGAGGCTTGTTGTCGGGGTTATCTAGGCGATAAGGGTGCAGCTGTGGGGAAGGAGGCAGAATTCCGAGGTGAGCCGAAGGGTGAGGTGGGGGAGAGGCGGCGGGGGCTGGCCAGCAGGTCTCCATTGTGCAGCTTCCAGAGCAGCTCCTCGTTCTCCATGGACAGACGCTTGTTGACCTTGGACTCCTTCTGCAGCGTCTGCTGGAGTTTGGCCTGTTCGCTGGAGAGCTGCCTGCAGGGGGAGACAGAGAGCTGATTCTATTATCTGTAGAAACTGCTTTACCCAGGTGAACTGAGAACTGTCCAAGGGGAAAGTCTCAAACAACAACTGAAGTAAGAACCATATAGACATCTTTTTACAGTCATATTTAGTTTTATATTATTACAATATAAAGTATTTCATTTGATTCTACCGTAGAGTATTTCATTTGACATTCTGTTGTTGTCCCTTGCACCAGTCTCTTGTACTTTTTATTTCCATTTTTCTTGAATTTTTGTATTTCTATTTACTTCTAAGCATGTTGTATGTTACATTGTTGGAGGAGCTCGGGACTGAGATGTGTATTGCCAGAACTATGCTGTAGCTCTTTGTGGAGCTTTGAAAACAAGAACTAACACAGGTCACACTGTTCAGGTGATAGAGCTGCTCATTCAGAAGAAGAAGAAGAAGAAGAAGAAGAAGAAGAAGAAGAAGAAGAAGAAGAAGAAGAAGAAGAAGAAGAAGAAGAAGAAGAAGAAGAAGAAGAAGAAGAAGAAGAAGACATACTTTATTAAAAATACATGTATTTTACACACATAGGGAGGATAGACATGCACACACACAACCACATGCAGATAGGAGAGGTGGCAGAGCAGAGAGGCTGCCAGGTACCCGGTGCCAAGGGAGCAGTTTCAAGGTTAGGTGCCTTGCTCAAGGGCACCTCGGCAGTGGCCTTGGAGGTGAACTGGCAGCTCTCCAGCTACCAGCTCACTCCATCTTTTTATTTTATTGGTTAGATCTGGACGTGAACTGACGACCCTTCGGTTTCAAGACCAAGTCCCTACAGACTGAGCCACTGCTGCTAGAGCTGCCTGCTGGTCACAAGCATCTGATCAGATGATGTATTTATTTCAGTTTATTCTCAGGGTTAAGCTATTTAAATGCATGGCCTCACAATAAGACACTACCTTTATGTGGCTGATGTTGGCATGAGATATTGTTAAGCTTGAAACACAATGTTATAGAGAGAAAGTTCAGATGTGACATCAAACCAGAGCAAAGCATGAGTGATGTATCTTTAGTTCACTGTACAGGGCTTAAAGGTCCACAGCCAGATGAATCTCACTGATCAGCCATTATTTAAACCATATAGATTTTTACCAATGTGTGTCAGTGAAAAGTATACTGAGTTTAAACCTGCTTTTAGTCGCTACCTCTGGGGTTTACCATTAGAACACTGTCTATGGCACACACACACACACACGCGCACACACGCACGCACACGCACGCACGCACGCACACACGCACGCACGCACACACTTTGTACGTACTTTGAGAGAGCAGCGTGTTTGTCCATCCTGGCCCTGTAGTCCTCGTTCTCCTGTTGGACCTTATTTAGACACTCCTGCAGTTTCACATTCGTCTCCAACTGTGACACACACACACACACACACACACACACACACACACACACACACACACACACACACACACACACACACACACACACACACACACACACACACACACACACACACACACACACACACACACACACATTAGTTAGCATTAGTGTTATGTAAGGTTGTTTATACATACATTCTTCTAAACACTGTCAATATATGACCTTTTTTCCCCTAAAACAACAAACAACAAGTGAAAGTAATCAGGTGTTGAGAGAATGAAATAGCCTCTGAAACAGGATCTGGATCACAGTCTAACCGGCACTCTAAAATGACGCAGGGTTCCCACTTTTTTCTAGTCATTATTTTTCAGGAAATGGGCAGTTCAGGCTGGACAGACAGAGAGGGGTCAGACCAATCACTTCTATGATTCTTTGTGGGTTAGTCTGATTTAAAGACATGCAGTCTATGGCTGCACTTTATGAACTGAATATGAATGAACACCAATAACACAGATACTTGCCTTATGACAAATCTAGATTGAAGTTAACCTACCAAAATGTATGATTCAAAGTTAGCGATGAATTGCTGGGAGTATTCACAGCCATTGACTCTTACAGGTGTTTCACTTTATGTCCATCATTTACTCGTAATGTGAAGTTAATGTCATTATATGCTACATCTTTGCTAAACAGTGCAGCTTTACATTTGCAGACTATGCAAATAAAGCGTAAAGAAAGGACAGCTAAAAGGATAAGAACATAACACAGGCTGTCAGGTGGAGATGTTGTTGGAGCTCTGAGGGACAGCCTCATAGTTCATTCTCAGCTGAACCAAAATAGGTACATTTTCCAGGATTACACCAGAATTTCCAGCACATTTCACTTCTCTCTCAGGTTGATGTGTTATGACTGGTTTTCCAGGGTTTGTTTGAAGCATGTGATAATATGTGATAAAGGAAGAGTGATTGCCCACCAGTTTGTCCATGTCCATGAGCTTCTTCTCCTTCTGGTGCAGCTGGTTGTTCTTGAGCTCCAGTACGACCTTAAGACTGTCCAGCTCCTGCTCCAGGTACACGGTGTGGGAGTTCTTCTGCGAGAACAAACACGTTAGAGAAGTGTGAAGCTTCAATGCCTTTGTGGGGAAAGAGCAGCAGAGACAATGAGACAATAATATGGCACAAGTGGTTAGAGATCGGCGTCATTTCATGAGGCCCAGAATGTGTAACCCTTCCTAACCAGCAGGGGGCGTTGTTGAGCAGAACAAACTGTCTCTATCCCCCTCCACTATCTCTATATCAGGAAGCTTCAGAGTGGTGCAGTGATGACATGTCTTGGTAAGCGACACGGTAGTGAGCATCACATTGGCTCCCTCCACAAAAAGCAATGGGATTTTTAAAAATATTGCAAAAAACAAGATCTGTGATGAAAACGTTTAGGATACTTAATGGGTTTTTTTTTAAAACAAGGAGGATTTCCATATTTTGACACACAAAAGTCTAAGCACAAATGCAATCACCAGAAGTTAAAAGCTAACGTTCAGCTACAAAGGAACTCCAACAGGTCACGTGACTTCATGTCACCCCGGCTAAGCTAAAGGTATGCTTATGTTCAGTGTGATGACATTAAGTATTCTCATTTAGTCTGAAGTTTGTTTGTATGTCTACAAACAAACTTCAGACATTCACCAGTGGGGTATTTCCTGACCTATTTTATGTCGGAGAACAAAAGGTTAACATCTCTTCAGCTTGTGTAGCACTGACCTTATGTCAGGATAACAACCAAAAACACTTTCAGAAAACCATTGTCTTTGAGACATTACTCTATAATGACAGGAGTAACAATCTTTACCAGGTTCTTGTCTGTGAGGATCTGCTTCCTGCGCTCCTCCTCTGCTCTCAGCTTCTCACTCAGAGCCTCCTTCTCTGCACACAGCTCAGAGATCTTCTCCTGGAAACAGAGACAGAAGAATGTTTTAGTGAACACTGAGCTTTGGTTTCATTTAGTAAGACAGACATTTCAGATTGAGAAACACCAGCAGGTAAACTCCTGATGTTTCTCTGCTGTGACCTGAGGAGCAGAGGACTGAATCACTTTACTGCCAAAGACTCCAGCTTTGCTCCATGATGTTCAAAACTAACTGTCGGCAGTAATCTGTTTTATTTCATCTGCGTTCATCATAACATTGCTTTGTTTTTGCTAACACTACAACTGAATATGGAAGATAGCACTCACACACAGTTATGAGACATGATTGTCTTTGATATACTGTATCATCAGCACTCTTACAGAGGAATATGGGCAATTTATGAAATGTTTCTTAAAACAAATTGCAGAACAAATATTGTTGAGTAAAGAGGAGACTTTCTTAGCAAACTGGGGCCATGCTGTCACCTACACTCAGTGCACGCACACACTGGTTCATCTCACTGTGTTATTTAACAAATAATTCACCAGAAGCAGTGTGTTATAAGAGTTTCCAACACATTCTCACTCCCAACTCGTCACATATTGACGATCGGTCAGGGCCCCTTCACGTCACCTTATCACGCACTGGCTACCCCTCGAGCGTCAGTTTTCAACGGGCAGGGCGTCCCATAGCAACCTGGTCTCACCAAAATACGTGAAATGAACACAACTCCTTAACACCGCATTACGTGGTGGGGACACGGAGTCTGCTAAATGACGTGTCGGCACCACGGAAACAACCCCAATGTAAAGTGAATGAGGATCCTTTTTCGTGGTGGACAGACACATTTCTGCAACGTCCAGCAGTGAGCTTCATGTTGTTTTCTACTCTATAAAACGTTTTTTAAATCTACTTTATTATGGATTGTATTCCCTATCTTTATTCAAGAGCGTGTTCTTTCAATTTGAGAGCATAATTGATTGATTTCACGTTCAGATTTTGTATTTCTTTCAGTCAAACCCTGTCCTTGCGCTTCGATTTGCTCTGCTTCTGCTCAAACTGTACGCTTGCACTCAGATATTGTTAGAAATCACAAGTCTCTCCCCTCTCAACCTGCATCACCACCTCTGTCAATCAAGTGTAGAACACTCCCCCACCAAAGTCTTTAAAGCTCCGCCCTTCAGGCCAGTCACTGGGTGTTTCTCAATGTCGAGTAAAGCTGCTTCAGAGCCACTATTTCAAGCATACTACGTCATTGAGTGCCGCCGAAGTACTGTTCCAATCTCCAGCATACTTGGAAATCTACCGAGCCCGGCGTACTTCCTTTGGAGAAATTTCGAGGCTGCACATGTGTAGACTCCGCGGTCTTAAAATCCCCACAATGCTTTGCGCACAGACCAATTTCCCCAAATCTGTGGCGGAAGATGTAAGGCGGGGCCTCTCATATGACGCACACCTGCACACTTGCTAGCCTGTTCCACTCTTCGTTTTCTGAATGCCAGGAAGTATTCTTGCCTCGCTTCTGAAGCAAGATGCTCGGCAGACTTGTGCTACCAAGCAAGCGTACTCGACATTGAGAAACACCCACTCACTTCCTTCCCATCAGAGACTGAAGAACAAAGGAACTGTGAGTTGGCACATGGAGCTGAATTGTTTGTACTTAAATCAGTTGATGAAATGTTTAGCTTTACTTTAACAGACTGTTTTGTTTATGTTAGATCCGCCTTCTAGATTCCCTTCGACCCATACCTATGTTAAAGGGTCCATGTCATGCTTTTCTGGTTACTACCCGTCCCCTTGTGTGTTATGAAGGTTTTTCTGCATGTAAACGGTCTGCAGAGTCACAAACCCTCAAAGTACACCCTGTAGCGAGTAAAGCTCTAACACAGAAAGACCTGTCTATGCTGCCCCAGAACGCCTCGTTGCACATTTCTCATTTTCCATTGTTTGCTTCCTGGGTTCTGTGACGTGTGAACACCCAGATCAACAACAAATGACCGGATTGGCCCAAATGGACCAATCAGCGGGTGAGTCCCATTGACTTGCATAGAGCTCCATGAACGCTGGTAATAGACGAGTTGGGATGGCGGAGAAATGCTCTCTGCAGACCCATTCTCACAGCGTTATAAACCTTTTTCTTACTCAATATCAAGCCACACTTATTGTTTTTACTTCGGCTGTGAGTGTTTGTGTGTGCTCAGGATGAGTTTCGCTTGTTCTCCTGTATCGCCGACCCGGAAACCTGTCCGCTCCTCGCAGCAGCTCGCAGCAGCGAGGGGTAGCCAGTGCGTGATAAGGTGACGTGAAGGGGCCCTGACCGATCGTCAATATGTGACGAGTTGGGAGTGAGAATGTGTTGCAGTTTCATTGTTCTTAGCTGAACTGTTGCTTTAGGTACAGAATGTATCTGGTTCCAAGAATGAAAAAAAGTTTAAAATGCTGACTTATTTGAACACTTTTTTTTACTTACTCAACAGATTAGATGTCAGTGGAGTTTGTTTCATTAAGACATTGTCGTTTATACCTTCCTTGGTAACTTATGTGTTAATATTGACATATGAACGTGTCTTACAGAGAGAGATGTTTCAGTCTCCTTCAGGGATTTGTTCAGGTTCTCCAGTTCCGTGTGCTGGATCCTCTTCAGCTCTGAAACATCCCACACACACATCAGTGAACACACATCAGGGCTGACCATGATAACAACGTGGCGCACATTAACACCACTGTTAACTCTCATGAATGCAGGCTAAGTTATGAAGCATCCCTTTTCCCCCGGATTTAAATATTTTAATGAGTTTACCTGTATGTAATAGAATATTTAAAATGTGCTGTGTGTTCTGCACACACCTTGTGTGGAGGTCTCATGCTGCCGTCTGAGAGAGTCCATCTTCTGACTGTGACTCTCCGCCTTGTCCTTCCTCTCTGCTTCATGCCGGCTCCTCAGCTCCTCCACCTGAAGGATGCAGAATAAAATCAAGAGATGTTACAACTCCTGTCACAGTTGCAGACTGTTGAATCAAAACTGAGATTACACAGAACCCTGAGAGTGTGTGTGAGCAGTAACACATCGAGCATAAGAACAGTTGAGTGGGAACTATATGGGCTTTTCAGTGAACACAACGTTAGAGCATGTTTTTTACATTGTTAAAAAAGTGTATGCATGAAGTAACGTGAGCCTCACACTGCTCATGCTGCAGTATGTTTACAGCTAACCGCAATCAGCTTTATCAGATATGTAACCATGGCCCTCTAGGCCCTCTCTGAGGGCCTAAGATATTCTACAAAATAATATTTAAAAACATTAAAAAAATATTTTTGTTTTTAAATATTTTTTTAGTTCTATTTTTCATTAGTTTTACCAAAATAACTTGATTTAATTGTATTTAAAATAACATTTCCAAAGAAATAAATCCTTTGAATCTGCCTGTTCAGTTTCTGTTTGAATGTGAAGGGTTAAATGAAAGAAGCTCCTTGAGCCGTCTCTGCGAGTTACGGCCCGTCTCCACAGCAGCGTTAAAAAAATCTTGAAACGCTTCTGCCCATTCACTTTGAATGGGGTGACGTCACTTTCCCTCACTTTTCGCCGAACTGCATTGTGGGCAGGCGAGCGGAGATTTTCAGGATTTTCAGGATTCAAAGTTGAGCAATGTTCAACTTTTGAAGCTGAGGTGGAAGCGTCAGCCAATCAAATCCTGTGTACGCAAATCTGACAGTTCAAGCTCTAGCCAATCAAACGGCGTGTATGCTGGGAGAGACATACCGCAGGTCATTTCCTCATATTCCAAAAAATGGAGGAGAAATTAGCGGTAGCGAATCAATCACCCGGTGCTTTATGACCAGACCTACCGGGATATAAACCGGAGGAGCCAGGCATGGAGGGAGGTGGCAGAGACAGTGGTATGTTTTCGCCTGTTTGGGGAGTTTATATCCAGTTTACTTCGGGCTTTTTTGCTTCGTATGTCGCGGGCGGGAGATTCATGTGATTGGTTGTTCGTGCCTTGCTCGCAAAAAATCCTCAAGCTTCAGATACGCCCACCTCCAAGATTTTTTTAACGCTGCTGTGTGGACGGTCCGTTACTGTGAAGTTAGGAGCTGATTGGAGGTTCAGCTGTAAATTCACAGAGGGCCCGCTATAGTAACTGAACGAGAGAGTAATGTCAAGTGACAGTACAATTGACCAATCATATCTTCCCTCTAAATGGGTGGGTTTTATTATCGCGGACTTTATGACAAGTTCCGCCCGCTGTGAAGCTTTTCTTGTTTCCATAGCAACAACAACTTCCTGTCAACAGTGTGAACTCTCCTTCAAAATAAAAGCATGTCCATACACAATAGGAAGCCAAGCCAAATTACACTTAAGATATACAACTGCAATGAAAGTAACAAACACAATGCAATATCCTTTTCAATGTCAAAGAACACAAATTGGGTTCACAGGTGTTGTTTTGTGTGGTAGAGGGTCGCTGTCATTGATGCGTTTTGCACCCTGGGCCGTTGTTTTGATATTCCGCTGAAGTATACGCTGTGACGTAATAACTATTTTTTTTTTCGAGGGAAGGGGTGGGGGTCAGAGGGCCTAGGTATAAAAGTCACGGCACTGAATCAGAGAGAGTATGAGGAGGGTGGGATGATCTGCAGTGTTTTAAAGTTCTTCTTAGCATCAGCTCATCTCACTACCCCATTTGAGCTGGAACTAAAAAAGAGTAGCAGGTACTATGCAAAGTGGAAACCCAAAAGAGCGAGTCGTGTTGACTCGAGTAGAGCCGCGCCAGAGTTTCATTCAAACATCCAGCAGACCTTTTGAGTCCAGTCAGAGCTCTCTGCATGTGTGTGTGTGTGTGTGTGTGTGTGTGTGTGTGTGTGTGTGTGTGTGTGTGTGTGTGTGTGTGTGTGTGTGTGTGTGTGTGTGTGTGTGTGTGTGTGTGCTCTGACCTGCTGTTCCATCAGCGTGCGGCATCTGTCTGCCTCCTCCTGGTACGTCTGGTGGACTTTGTCCCACTCAGTTTGGTAGAAGCTCCTCAGTCTGCCACAGAGGAATAGTTAGAGAGCCACAGAACAAACACTAACAGAGTTATAGTTATATATCTATATATATATATATATAGATATATAAATATATATCTATATATATATATAGAGTGCTCACCTGTCCTCCAGCTGCACCAGCTCCTCCTGGTGCTGCTCCTGCAGGCGCTGCAGAGCCTCCTCCAGGCGGAGACGCAGCTCCTCCCTCCCCTGCTGCAGCCGCTCGCAGCACTGCGCTGACGCCACTGAAGGAGGCAAGCAAGATTTCAATAAGGACCCCTAAATATAACTGGACAATAATAATACTAATAATAACCACAATCATAATCATTATAATGCAAAAATACATTAGCAATATGGATGTGAAGTTTGCTGTAAAACATTCTTTGGTTAAGAATGTAGAGGTAGAGTACACAAAGGGCAAATACTCACTGAGTTTTGAAATTCTTTTGAACAACATAGAAAAAAAATTCAAACATTCAGGTGATGAAAAACACAACTAAGTGACTAAAGGTAGTGAGGAGCATAACGTTTTATAAACAACTCAACAATAGCCTACAACTTCTAAATATATGTTCTGTTTTACAACGTTTAATTGAATTTATTAAATCGAAGGCCACTTCATCCAATTGGGTCAGAGTTGTCAGAAACCAGAAGAAGGAGAGGAAGAGATAGACTGTGGGGAATCAGCTTAATATTACACATCACAAGTTCACAAATCATTTGGAGGGCAGATGTGAGGGGAAGGAAGGCCAGATGTGTTAGCCCTCATTGAGTTACCATTTTGACCATTCACCATAAATTTGTGTTTCATTTCCATAACATACACTAGTACAAACATGATATCACATGATGTCAGGCCGGTCTTCTGAGATAAGACAGGCAGTGTCCCAACAGGTAATACATAGCACATTTTCTCTGTGTGTGTGTGTGTGTGTGTGTGCGTGTGTGTGTGTGTGTGCGTGTGCGTGTGCGTGTGCGTGTGCGTGTGCGTGTGCGTGTGCGTGTGCGTGTGCGTTCCTCAGCAATCACTGACAACAACATTCCAGTTTAATTACTGCATTACTTGCAGCAGACATGAGATCCAGCCCTGGAACATCTGCAGTCAGCTCAGAAGTATGCACAGGTCTCATTCTTCTCATGAATCATTTGAACTCTCACAAGCACATGCACGCTTCCCTCTCTCTCCATCTTTCATCACACGCCATTATGATCCAAGTGTGTACGAATATGAAATATTTGAATAAATATCAAGATAAGTAATGTAGCACCTAGACAACCCAACATCTGTCACTGCATGGGACTGTCATCTCATCTGAAGCAGACAGACAGAAGACATTAGAATGCCCTCACCTAGGCCTGTGTGCCTGCAATAATACTGACAATGAAAACAATAAACCTTCTATAACTGTACAGGAACAGCTGGCTGCAGCCGGGACAGTTGCTCCCCCCATCTGAATAGAGCTCTATGAAAGTGCCTGTCATCATGGTGATGGAGACACAAAGCCATCGACAGCTGAGAGCAGTGTGTGTGTGTGTGTGTGTGTGTGTGTGTGTGTGTGTGTGTGTGTGTGTGTGTGTGTGTGTGTGTGTGTGTGTGTGTGTGTGTGTGTGTGTGTGTGTGTGTGTGTGTGTGTGTGTGTGCATTAGCATTACTATCCTTGTGGGGACCTAAATCTGTTTACATAGTCACGTGTGGGGACTCGCCTCCCTTATGGGGACATAAGGGAGGTCCCCATAAGGGGAATCATTAATTAAAAGACTTGGTTAGGGTTAAGGTTTGGGGAACGTGCGCAGCGTGGTGCACGCCGGGCTCTCTGTAAATATTTTTTGTTTAAAAACCTATTTAAAAACTCCTGTAGTAAAACCAATAAAAGTTTATAAAAGCCCTGTTTGGTCTGTGTTAAAAAATGCTTAAGAAAATGCAATAACAGGGATAAAAGAGAGCAGCGGCTGCAGCACAGAGCGTATGCGGCGGGGTTAAAACCTGTACTCCTGCCCTCCCGGGGTCTCCCCCGGTGGGGTGTCCGAGGCTGCGTCCCACAGCATCTGGTAAAAGACCTGGTAAGTGGGTTAAAAACATCTGGCTAAAAGCACCGAGGTTGACTTTGTTTAAAATCGGCATGCAGGTAAAATTTGTGTTAAAAAATGATAAATAAATACATAAAAGTGCTTAGTAGAATAAGTGCTTTTTAAAAAATAAGTCCTGGTAATAAAAATCACATCAAACAAAATGTTAAAATATGTAAAATATAAAGCAAATATGTAAAAGGTAAAATGTAAAATGTAAAATATAAAATACACATGTGTTAGTAGGCACACGGGGAGGGAAAATATCTTAAAATAAAGTCAACCAAGTGTCCCTAAAAGTGTTTAAAACCCAGGCCGAGGTCTAGAGAGGTGGTGCAGGTGAGACATGGGACACGCCTCGGATGATGTTTTAAAAATACTTTATTAAAGGGCTTGTTTCAGGGTGTTTCCCTGTGGGAGGCTCCAACATCCATTTAAAAGTAAATGGAAAGTAATAACTAAAATATAAATAAAATAATATAAGCACTGTATAAATAGGAAACGGGGGATTAATAATATATAAAAAAGAATAAAATATATAATCTCCTCATATGGAACCTAATAAAATAAGAAAACATGCAATACACCGTGCAAACATAGAATAAACTGTGACATGTAAAATATAAATAATAATAGATCGAATGTAAGAAATATATATAAAATGGTAATAATAATAATAACCCCATGCATTAGGGTAAGGGTACGGGTTAGGGTTAGGCATGTGTTGGTTATGGTTAAGGTTAGGATAAGTCTCCAGGAAATGCATGTAAGTCAATGTAATGTCCCCTGAAGTGATGTATACATGGTGTGTGTGTGTGTGTGTGTGTGTGTGTGTGTGTGTGTGTGTGTGTGTGTGTGTGTGGAGAGAGCAGGGTTCTAAACATTGCTCGCATTCCTCAGCTCTGTGTGTAAAGAGACGAGCATACACACACCACTCTCTCTGTCAGATGATTTGACTTGACATGTTAATGTGCCTTGAAAGCAGGCTTTGGTAGTAATGGATTACATCATCAGAAAACAAATAAGAAAACTGTATTCCCTCACAGAATGGTTCATATGTATTCAGTTATGCCATATGTTCATAAAACTGTGTGTGTGAGCTTAACTGTAGGTAATAAATTAAATTAGTTCTGCTTTTTTAAACTGTAGTATGTGCTCATTGTTGGTGTATCGGCTGCTGCCTGAATATGCTTCATTATAGGCGGGTTTTCCTATCAATACAATCTCTGAGAAGATGATACATTTCAGATTCAACTTTCTTTTCTAAGTTAACATTCTTGTGTTGTCTTACATAATACACTGACTTTTCTTTTATATTGAGGGTATCCAAAATGTGGAGAATATTAAAGTGAAGGATTCAACATTCATTGTCTCAATGACAGTTAAAAGATGGCAGACTGCCAAATGCTGCAGAACGTCTGAGTAACACGCCTCGAACACACATGACATGGAAACTGAACTCATTACATGAAAGCTCCTCAGCAATATTTGGATGGATCCTCTCCTGTAATTAAAGTCTTACTCATCTGCTGCTATTATGTTCAATGCTACACTTGAAGTGGTTCTGGTAGAGTTAAGATGCTTCACTTATCCACATAAATAACATACAGGAAATGTAAAATGTCTAAACATTAGATCTACAATACTCTTCGCAGGTTAGTAATCTCCTTTAAAAGTTTGATTGGGTGCAGTCAGGTGTCTGAAGTACAACAGCTATTCCTGTCTGTGCTGCAAAGCAACCAATCAGATTGCACTGCCATATAAACTGTCAGACCACATGAGACTGTTTCATGCTGCCCGTTTTCTAATCAGTTATTAGTGTTGTGTTTTTTGTACTAGTCTTCATTTGCAGATAAAACCCTGTGCACACAGGTGCACGGAGCAGCGACTGAGCTTTAGTGTGAAACAGCAGCTTCTCAATAGCAGTTGACCCGTCTACGATAAGCTCTGTGTGTTTGGGTCATATGCAAATGCATAAAAGAGAGGGAGGGAGAGAGATTGATAGTGTGATAGAGTGTGTGGATCCTTCTCTTACCCAGCTCATCTCGGAGGGTTGCCAGTTCCAGGGACAAGCTCTTCTTCTGCTTCACGGCCTCCTCGCGCTGCACACAAGAGAAGAAGAAGAGACTCAAGGCTGTGTCTAAGGTCATTCTCTACTCCTCCTGTTAGATATAGAGCAGTGTGTGCACTGTGATCACCAGCAGCCTGACTGTGCACAGTGAGTCTCAGTCAGTTCACTCATCGCAGCGATCATTGTTTGATGATTTCTGTATACTTCCAAAGGTTCAGTATTCTCACTATGGTTTTTGGACAAAACATCAAACTGGTGTGCACAGCCGTAGACCACATAGTCGACAGTGAATTATTTCAAAGACGTTTGTCATTCTGGGTTTCAGAAATTGCACTGATCACAGGACAGTGAAGCTTCAGCGTTGACTACAGGACACTTTAGTAAAGGTCAGCTGGGGTCGGAGAGGCAGGAGTTTATAAAGACAGATAAAAGAGCTAGGGGTACGACAAATATTAGCAGGGTATCATAATCCCATTTGGTTGTAAAATAATCAAGATACTAACATGCACCATGGCTGAAAACACCCGATGTGGTGATGCTCACAACATCTGTAGGAAGTCAAAAAGACTGCTTCCCCTTGAAGTTAAAGTTAACATTCAAAAGCAAATTCAGAATCAACCAAAAACAAACAACATTTTGTACATTCATATTTTCATACTCATACAGACATCAAGATACATTCATTATGGATGATTCTCTACTCACTTAATCCCTAACACACACACTATACAGCTGCTTACACCAGCCCAACACACACACACACACACACACACACACACACACACACACACACACACACACACACACACACACACACACACACACACACACACACACACCACCACACACACACACACACACACACACACACACACACACACACACACACACCCATAAAACGCATCTGTTGTGAGAGGGGTCAGTAAAAGGGAAGAGCTGACAGGGTGGGAGGCCAAAGGGTAGAGACAGCTTGTAATAATGAGCACATGTTTCTGACACACAGAAGAGAGATTACTGGAGTACTAACGGAGAAGATATGATCCAAGTTGGAGGAGACATAAAGCAACTTCCTAAACCCAGACTTCTGCTGAGAGCTGATCAGATGGGAAGGAGAGAGAAAAAACACATGTAAAGACATACACACACACTTACAAACACACCTTGCGTTTCTTCTTGCGGCGGTGAGGGGGGGCCTCTCTGGGCTTGTGGTGGGCTTTGCTGGTCGTGGAACCCATATTTTGTTGAGCGAAGAAACAAAAACACACACACACCAAATTCTCCAGTCCTTACTCTCTCTCTGTCACTGATACCCTCCCTCTACAGCAGCCGGCAACACACACACACACTCTCTCTGCCCGCCTACTCCATGGGACTATCTCTCCCTTCCACTCCTCCCCCTCTCTACCTGTTCCCCACCCTGCCCTGTCTCCTCCTCCCATCTGCCCCCCCCCCCCCTGGCTGGTTACTGTGTGATGGAATGGAGGAATATGAGTTATTCTGCACCACCTTCTTTTCTTATCTTTATTCTTATCTCCCTTTCTCTCGTTCCGAGTCATTTACACAAGCCACTGGTTCCTCTCTAAACTCAACACACTGTCTTTGACTGTGTCTATTGTTCTGTTTTAAGTTACACTAAAAATATTCCTAAATATATTCTTATAATCAGAGCAGCACACCAACAAGCGGCTGCTGACGCTTTAGGAGGATTGGTCATTTTAACCTCAGTCTCAGTACATTTGGTTTGGTTTCAAAGCCTTTTCTACTAAATGGATTACCCCACCCACCCACATTACAGCCCCAACCTCTTCCACTAAACCAAACAGCCCCCCCCCCCCCCCCCCCCCCCCCACAGGCCCCCCAGGTGTAGGTAGCTCTTCCTGAGTTACCAGTCACGTTAAGTGTATGAGACTGATTAGATAGCCTTGGTATTCATGCTTCAGATAAAAACACATATATTATCTCAGACACGCATACGAAAGAGCTGCAGGGCCTGAGCTGCATTCCTCCCCTCCTCCCTCTCTTCCATTCATCACTCCCCCTTCACCTCCACTTTCCTCAGGACATCCGCCCAATCAATGACCAGGAGCTGGAGCTCTGAAAACTCTCACTGCTCTCTCAGCCCATCTACACTCACACTACGCTGCAGGGAAATGTGAAGAGGAGAATTGATCCTGATACACAACACATTTTAATCAGGTTCGAAAGGGAGAGTTATGTAACACTTAACAATCACACACACACACACACACACACACACACACACACACACACACACACACACACACACACACACACACACACACAATCACACGCTCCACATGCTAATTGACCGTGGTGACATTTATTTTCACTGACTGTGTGTGTGTGTGTGTGTGTGTGTGTGTGTGTGTGTGTGTGTGTGTGTGTGTGTGTGTGTGATTGCAAACATGAATAGCATCTCGTTATTAATATTTATTCTAAACTTGTTGAGGAGAATGTGATGTGAGAAGCAGCCACATGCTTTTACACTTGTTGTACATAATGGTGGGACTTGTGTCCCATGGTCACTTGTGAAATCTACTCAACGTACAGCAGCTTGGGTGGATTGGGCAAAGCTGAACTTCAGTAAGTGTGGGTGTGTGTTAGTAGAATCCCCTGAGGGCTCACTGACTGAAGGCTAATGCTGTCTGCTCATCTGCCCCCTCTACCTCATACAACACACCCAGTCCAAGAGAAGAGAAGGAAGTAACAGCAGATCTATTCAAAGTGCTGATTTCAATTATGTACACACATTTAAACACGCACAAGAAGCAGGTCTAATGAAGGGTTCTGCACACTGGATAAGGTGCGCCTGCTTGATGATAGTTATTGTGGCTGGACTAAAAAGACTTCTAGTAATGTGTGTTTGTGTGCATTCATTTATATTCACACACCATATTGCCCTGCAAACATGAAATCACTAGTCCCAGTAATCTGACAGCAAATATTGACGGGGCATCCATGTCCGCCTGTGTGACACACACATCCTGGTGTCTGATAAATGGACCAATCAAATGCCTTCGACTCAACCCACTGTATGAACTGACTTCACTTACGCTGTGTATGATTTCACCCAAATGGAGATATGTTATGCTTATGGAATTGTAAGCTGTGAATTCACACCAGGATATGTTCAGAAACACTCAACTCATAGCAGCAGGCTGTGTGATGTTAATGAGAGCTCAGTGATACACTCTCTGCTGTCTCAACGCTTCACACCACAAACAGACATTGCTGCACTGCTCCTCCATCCCAGCACCAACTACTGAGTGATGCTCTAATTGTAGGCTGTGGGTTCTTTTTCTAATTTGCCAAAGGGGAAGGATGGTGTGCAGGTAACGGATAGTTTCACCTTGTTTTCCCCTTGAAGCTGCACTAGACCATACTTACAACACATCCACATTTGAAGCGCTGTGGAGCCACAGCGGGAGAAAGGGACCATTCCCCACCAAGTGATGCTGGAGACCCACCCTATTTACCAGAAACAGTATTAGCATTGGTGGGGGGGTTCTCTTACTCAAAGGAGGTACAATACTGTTGTCTTCACCAGAATCTGACTACATCAACATGTTAGCTCTGATTGTCACCAGTATATCCTTTGGATAACCACAACAGTACTTCTTCATATCAGAACATACTTTCAGCCGTGTGAAGGAAATCCTTGTTGGAGTATTGGCAGGAAACAAATTGTAGATGCTGGATCTCTGAAACTTCTTCCTAAATTGGAGGTTAAATTAACCTGTTAAGCCCTGAGCCTGTTTTTCAGGTCTCAGGCTCGGAAATGACATTCCCAGAACAAATGACTATATCTTCCCTTCTAAAAGGGGTAAATTAATAATATTTTTTCTCAAAGCAATGATATACCTGTGAGTTGGATGTAGAAAAGTCAGAATCAATATAGATGTTTTTAAATTTTAAAGTAAATTCAGATTGAACATAGTAAATAAATGTAAATTATAGTGTCCGTCCAAAAAGAAAACATTACTTATAGTGAAAACCACCCTTGAATGATGGGTTAGTAGACTAAAAGCTTTAGGAATCCAAACTATAACATATAATAAGTACCATGTATCAAGATTGATGCAAAACAAGTGACATTTTACCTTTTTAGAGAGATTTAGAAAAAAAAAAAAACACTTCTGGGGTCATTTGGGTGGATTTTCCATATCTCTGGCCCCCCCTCGTTCGATTTTGATGATTGACACCTCTTTTTAACCGTTAGAGCCAATAAAATCGAGGGGAAGTACCTAAAATCCATCTAAACATTACCCATTGGTGAATGAGTGATGCGTAGCCAGAATGCCTCGGAACCAGAAGCTGCGATACACTCTGGTAGCTATCATTAGCAGCTAATATGAAATCTCCGTTATTGACATAAACATTGAATGATGGATTATCAGTAATCATTTCAAAGTGACACAGACACATTGGATTAACCATTGGATTAACCTTCAGCAGCGTTATTATCGTTTTAATGCCATTGAACACGACTTTTGATCAGAACAACAGCTAAGGTAAGACGAGGTCCCGTGAATGCTCCGTAAAGCTCCGTGTTATGATGTCTGTGTTTGCTTCCCCTGTCACGAGTTCTGATCGCTCAGTGATGATACTAATACCTGTATAATCTGTGGAATCCCAGTTTGCTAATCGATGGCTTGTTTGTGCAGTTACGATAAGTAATAAGGGTAACAAAACGTGCATTTATCTAACAGGTTCGTTTTCCACAGACCTTATTTCGAGCTATTTTCCAAACCCTATGGAGAAATCCCATAGCTTTTTTGTCGAGGGAACCCGAGCGCAGCTTACTTCCGGGTTATAGGACGCGTCACTGCACCACTTTATACCGCTTTATACACTTGCATCAACTTCACAGCGGGCGGAACTTGTCATAAAGTCCGCGAAAATAAAGCCCACCCATATAGAGGGAAGATATGATTGGTCAATTGTACTGTCACTTGACATTACTCTCTCGTGGAGTTACTATAGCGGGGCCCTCTGTGAATTTACAGCAGGACCACCAATCAGCTCCTATCTCACATAACTCGCAGAGACGAGCTTCTTTCATTTAACCCTTCACATTCTAACAGAAACTGAACAGGCAGATTCGAAGGATTTATTTCTTTGGAAATGTTATTTTAAATACAATTAAATCAAGTTATTTTGGTAAAACTAATGAAAAATATTACTAAAAATATATATATTTTTAAAATATCTTAAAAATAAATGTTTTTTTTTTTAATGTTTTCAAATATTATTTTTTAGAATATCTTAGGGCCTCAGAGAGGGCCCTGACGGCTCGCCACTGGTGCTAAGTGTGTTACAATTTTTTCGCTCAGGGCTCATTTAGACGCTTCTTGTGAGACTTGTGCTTTTTTTCGGTAAAAATGGTTCGTATCGTCAGTTAGCTGAGTTTCTTCCCGTTAAGTGAGTATGACACATTAATAGGTTTTTAAATGTTAAGAAGCCCTGAGACACAGTTTCGTGAAAAAAAACAAACCTCTGGCTTAACAGGTTAAAGGATTTGCCAAGGAAAAAAGGAGATGAACAATATAGGCGAATATAGATGTGCAGTCACATACAATGCCATCATCCATTCTGCTGAACTGTCCTCTGGTCTGCATATTTAACTGATTCTTAGCCTGCTCATAACCATATCTGCTTTCGTCAATACATGTTGTAGGAGCCATTTTATGGGTGTTGTTGGTGTCTCAGTTTACTGTATTTATATTTATAGTGCAGTACTATTTTGAACAATTGGCGGTGGCAGGGTTTATAAAAGGGGTCACAGGTGACAGGAAAGGAGGAGGACACAGGAGGAAGAGCACACCGATTCCACCAGCCCGGCAGATGCTCATACCACAACAATGCTGATACAGCATTCCCACTATATGTTATGCTACGGACAAAAAGTTTATTATTATTATTCCGCCGACTTATTTTGGCCCTCTTCTCCTCCCACATTCAACATCGCAGAAACTCTGTTCAAACATCAAAACGTTCAGCTCGGTCAGGAATCGACTGCTATTACTTTTCTCATTCATAACTTTCATAATTCCAGAGATACATCCCATAATTCATCACATTTTTAACCATTGAAGTCAATGGAGAAATTCTTCAGACTTCAACAAATCTTCATGCGACTTCAACTGCTAACTGTTCATTCATACTTTCACTCAGAAACCTCATTCCAACTTTAAAATGTTACACATATTTCTGACATTATTCGTGTAACACAACTTTTAAATCTGATTCTCACTTTTAGAGATATTAAACATTGTTCAGACCTTGTTAAAGAGGTTTTCTTCAGATTTTAACATTAACTAGAGTGCGTGATGTCACAGCTAGAGTGGAGCAAATCTTGAAATTTGCCTTCATATATTTTTTTTAAACTGCCATAATTCCCAAATCCTACATTCCTGAGACATAATTTTTCATGACAAACGTAGGAAAACATCTCGTAGCTTGAAAAATGACAAATAATTAAGCAAAAAATAATTAAACAAAATGCCTCTTGAGGGCATGAAGTGACAAAAACGTTCAACATGTCTCCATTAAAACCCATTGTAATTTCAGGCTGATATTTCCTCACAGCAGCAGCCGCACACCTTTAGTTAAACTGCCAAAAAGGCCACATTATTTACCCGAAAGTACACAAAAATTACACTTCAGATACTCAACTTCCTTGACATGCTTCACGTTTTGAAATTTCACAGATATCTGTTATCGTTCTTCCACAAAACGTTCACATGTAAGAGGTTTATCTCTCATTCAGAACAATGCAAACATTTGATCTCTACAGAGCTCGTTAGCTCAACTATAAACACCTGTGTAATGGAACACGATGATGTCATCACTCCAACTGTTCATTTCATACTCACACACACACACACTCTCTCTCTCACTAACCCTAACCCTAAACTCTCTCGCCATGAAACACGATGTCGCTGTAAGTCCAAGGGACACGGTCCAATCGTCCCCCAATCTTCACTTGTATATCACCGGTCCATGCCTCAACAGCTCTACGCCAAATTTGAAATCTCACCATATGCCGTTTCCATGGAAACGCATCCCTCGCCATAAAACACGATGTCCCTTTAACTCCTATGAAAATGTTCAAAAAGTGCTCAAAATTCACATGTGTGCTCACAGTCCAGCCGTGAAGACATCTACGAAACAGTTTTGAGATTTCTTCAAATGCCGTTGCCATGGCAACACAATGCTCGCCATGAAACACGGTTTTCTCATAACTTCAGTGAAAATGCTCCAAACGGCCCAAAACTTCACAGGTTTGGTAACGATGCAGCCATCAACGCATCTAAGTGTATTATGGGGTGTCATCAAATGCCGTTGCCATGGCGACAGATCATTCGCCATCAAGTTAGTTAAAAAGGTTGCAGTTCAAATATTCTGCTGCTTTTCCAAGCCTTTTTACTTTCTTTTCTTCACTCATCACACATTCAAGCCCCCAGTGTTCATGTATCATTTCAATCTAAATTCTTCACTTTCTTCTTACACATTACATTTCAGCATAGCAGTTTAGCGTCAGCTTTTCAGCATAAAGCATTCCCACTAGCAATTTCTTCAGGAATTGCATTCTCTAGTTAAACCTTGGTATGTAAAGCAAAATAAACATCATTCTAAACTGCAGCAAAAGACCGGAAATCATCTGTTTGTGTCTGCGTCAGGATCACTCTAAACCCTCCTGTGAAGTAATGGCAATAAAAGAAGAGGACATTGGAACAGGTCAAATTGCCATTACACATGTCTACAATCAAACAACAGAGGCACCACCTAAAGATAAAGATGGACGTCACAGTGTTCCCATCTGCCTGCTGTGACCCCGCAGTGACCTAAACCTGCTCAAAATATCCTGAAGGGAAAAGGTCTATCTACATAATATGCATTAAGTCTAACGTTCAAACACATTTAATGATGTATATATTAACAGATAGGTTAGCTTAACAAATCGCCAAATAGGCTGTTTATTTAGTTCATTAAAGATTGAGGCCAGTGTCACATCGGCCCATCGTTTGCTCCTGGTGTTTCAACAGTCATTTGATGAAGTAAGTACCTCAGTGAAGAGATGCTGGATGACTGTAGCCAGAGCCTCCACCCTCCGGTTCCCCTGCAGCAGCAGCCTCCTCAGCTGGCTGAGGGCCTGGTTCTTCTTCTCTGCCTGCTCTTTACTCTGGTTCTGTTTAGCAGCGACCGTCCGCTCTGCCCCCCAACCCCCCCCTGCACCCGGCCGGGATGCATTCTGTAGGCGGGATCCTGCTCTGGACCTCAACGCAGTTTTTGGCTTCAACCCGAGACCAGAGGCTCCATTGCAGTGGCTCTCAGGGGCCGGCCCCGGGAGAACTGCTGTCCCTGGTGCATGCACCACCTCTGGCACCTAAAGCAGGCAAGAAGTACACAGGCAATGAATGAATCCTCATGTACAATATAAGATCAAAGGTCTGCACAGGAAATATTCATGCATGAGGCCCAATATGTATAAAAGTTATATGGTCAAATATTATTAAGGGGGCTATACCATTTTTCATCTAGAAACCGGTGTATAAACACCAGCAATCAGTCTGAAAGCTACAGCAAACACTAAAGAACCACCACAGGAAAAGCCTTCTTGCTTTATCGTGTTCATATCCTCTGTATATTTTTTACGTATTGGATGAATGCAGTGCAGTATTGTGTTATTTTTTCATCTAATTCAATCAATCAATAATTTATAAGATGCTGCTTGGTAAAGGTTCTGACAGGGTGTTCTGCCCATGATGAATGTGCATCATAAAGCTGAAAACTGGATCAGACAGCACATACCGGGTCTGGTGGAGGTAGCTGCTCCCTCTGGCTGTTCCCTGCTGCTGATGGAGCTGCTGATGGAGCTGCTGACGGAGCTGCTGATGGAGCTGCTGATGGAGCTGCTGACGGAGCTGCTGACGGAGCTGCTGATGGAGCTGCTGACAGAGCTGCTGACGGAGCTGCTGATGGAGCTGATGGAGCTGATGGAGCTGCTGACGGGGAGCTGCTGGTGCTGTTTGTGGGTCTGCTGCTCGCCTCCCGCGGCTTGTTTTTGTCCACTGCAAGAGAATGGTGTCCTCTTAGTGCGTGAGTGGCAGGTACAACATTCAACATGGTCCCCACACACAGAATATCTCTGAGCCCATCAACAATGTAGGGAGTTCACGCCACAACACACAACAGACCACACACAGCACACAACACACAGCACACAACACACTACACACAACACACAGCACTAAAAACAGCCATCCATCCTCTGAAGAGAAGAACACAGTTATAACAGAAGAAAGAGAGAACATAAACAGTCAACCAGTCTCCACCAGCACAATATCTAAACCCTGCCCACACACACACACACACACACACACACACACACACACACACACACACACACACACACACACACACGCGAGAATACGCCCTACTGACTGTTCTAGGCTTAGACAGATGCATCATGGGAGTGCGTGGAAATGATGAGCAGTTTGTGTGTGTGTGTGCATTAAGGAGTGCATTACCAGAGACAAAGCAATTAGAGAGAGAGACAGTAAGACCAACACATGGTTGATTCTCTCTCTCTCTCTCTCTCTCTCTCTCTCTCTCTCTCTCTCTCTCTCTCTCTCTCTCTCTCTCTCTGTTCCAAACGGCCCAAAACTTCACAGGTTTTGGCACTCACTGTGTGTACATACCACTTGCACATGCACACAGACATGTATTATTCATAATTATCACTATCCTCACAGATAAATGTTTATTCAGCTACTCAGTGTTTTACCTGTAATTATTATGTTTTCATGATTCATACTCATAGTTACATTACAATTTCCCTACGGGATGAATAAAGGTTTATCCTATCTCATTTTATCTAATGGTTTATTTGAAGACGTGAGGCTCTGAGGCCTTCAAAATATTTGAATCCCTCAAGAGCCACCTGTAATCAGTCTCAGCGGAAACTGTCATCATCGCCAAATTTCAACGGAGAGAGTCAATGAGCGTAAGTCCTGTTCAACCTGCAGTCAGTGTTGACTCCTTACACATACTGCCACCTACTGGTTCTCTATCTGTATCTTCAGTGTATGGTCTGTATACGTCTCCAGAGCTGTGAAACAAGAGGTGAGTGATTGAAATGGATTGGCCACTTCAGTATGAGATTGATAAGGGTGAAGAGATTCATTGGCTCACACTGACTTGTTGTGAGCAACAGTTAAATCAAAGACTGTGAAATGCTGGCTCCCTTAAATAAATCAAAGAGTCATCAGGCAGCCTCGAATGACAGGAACAGTCTCAGTCAGGTCACTTCCTCTGTGTCTGTTTCACTTTGTACAACCCGCTCAGTTTACATCTCACTGTACACACTATGGCTCTGCATTCATGACCAGGGGCCTCATTTATAAAGCCTTGCGTGGGATTCACGTGGGAAGGTTGCTTACGTAGAACAAAGCAAATAAATACGCACAGACATTTTCCGATTTATAAAACGCACGCACGTCCTACGCCGGTTTCCCTTTATAACGGTACGTCCACACGGCAGCGTGCGTTGAAGCTTGCCGGTGGGTGTGTCTGGCGCACGACCAACAACCAATCACATTAATCTCCCGCCCCGGACACACAAGCACGCGGTTTGATTGGCTAGCACTTGTACTGGCATATGATTTGATTGGCTGACGCTTCCGTCGAAGCTTGAAAAGTTTAACTTTTCTCAACTTTTGAAGCGAGCAACGGAGGCAACCACAATGCAGTTCGGCAAAGCCTGACGTCACCCCATTCAAAGTGAATGGGAAGCGTCTCCGTTGAAGCAACGCACGCTGCCGTGTGGACGGGCCAGAAATCACAATCAACTCGAAATGCGGCGCAGCTTTTGTGGGCTTCACGTAACGCCCATATTTGCCTATAAATAGTCAAAGAAACGCCCCATATTAATATTCATTTTGACTGACTGCATGAAGAAGATCGCAGGAAATGACGACAGAACAGCTAAAAAAGACATCTCACACCGTGTCAGATTTTGGTTATTTTGGGGAGGTCGAGATAAATCATATTGTTTGGTGGATGCAGTTTGAACCAGAGTAGCAGCATGGAGGTCGGATCGTCACCAAAATAAATAAATAAGTGACAAAATGACAAATGACAAAAATAATACACATAACCTTCCTCAGGCAATGTAACTTTTTCAATATCATACCAAGCAGGTATGAGTGTGCTTGACAGTGTGTCTCTGGAAGGGGGGCGGTAATTAGGGGCAGTTCATAAATCCATGTAAACATGACAACATTATTCAGTTAAAACGAGACGCTGCGTGCGCACCTCCTAAACCGGAAGCGGAACAGAGACATTGGATTAACCGTTGTTATGCCCTTAAACAAAACTTTTGATCACAAGGCAGCAAAGGTAAGACATAATTATCATCATGGCTACGTAAAGTGAAGTTGTTTTCTTGCTCTCTCCTGGTTGCTAGTTCAGTGAGTTTTGGTCGTACAGTGATGAGACTTATACCAATGGAATCAGCTTTCATGTGATATGTTGTTTGTGCAGATACAATGACGTATAAAAGATCGCTTTTGCCAGTTATGTGCTAAAGTAGCCGTTAGCCCCGTTAGCCCGTTTTGCTAAGTGTTGATTTAGACCAGGGGTGTCAAACTCAAATACACAGTGGGCCAACATAAAAAAATGGGTACTAGTCGAGGGCCGGACTGGTTCAATGTTTATTGCAAAACGTATTGAAATGAATTTATTGCACATATTAAACCTGGAACTAACAAAGCTTAAATTATTGCCTATTGTTTTTCAACATTAAACATTAAATAATCAGTTGCCTTCATTTCTTATGGCTCTATCTGCAGCTTTTCCGGAGTCATTTCTTATGATTACATTTCTCCACAGGCCAACAACAGCTTAAACTATTTTCCTCAAAGAAAAAACCAAACATGTCCTGTTGTCGCAAGAAAAAAAGTGCAGAAGGAAACATCCATGTAAACTCAGTGTGCTGCTCTGTGATACTAGTTCAAGCCAGATACTTGGCATCTCATCTTGGGTGCAAGTTCATCAATGTTTGGGGTCAGGCTCTGAGCTGAGGAAATCCTCAGGATTGAGTGAAGGTGTGCGTGCAATATACCGGCGGGCCAGATCTAATAGTAATTAGAAATTATCCTGCGGGCCGAAATTAAATCCACCAAGGGCCTGATTTGGCCCCCGGGCCTTGAGTTTGACACATGTGATTTAGACTCTTGGTGCTGGACTTCTGTTCCATGTAGGTAAATGGTCAATATCTGTCTGTTAGCTGAGTTTCTTCCCGTTAAGTGGGTATGCATCATTAATAGGTTGTCAAATGTTAAGAAGCGTGGTTGCGTCTGCCCCCTATGGTCTGCCGGGTCTCACACAGTGTTGCCAACTCCATAGTAAGGAAAGTAGCTATTGGCTGTCCGAAAAGTCACCAGAAGTCCCTAAATGACGTCATCGCCTAATTTGCATATCCTGTAATGGCGGTAAAAAAACGTTCCACCCCCTTCAAGGATCAAAACTTGAAACCATCAGAGTAAATCCAGATGACAGTAGATCAGAAATGTCTCTATTAGAAAAAGTAGAAAGTAGAATCTCCCTTACAATAAAGGCAGTATGCCCGTGTGTCATCTCCAATAAATGGCTTCAACCATCCTTTAAACTCAGGGTTTGTTTCCCACTCCTTTCTGTACTTTTGTGAATACAGTTTACTTAGAGACTGTGACATGATGACCTACGTGGATGTGTGCCTCTCTGTCACAGAGAGTGACTCTCTGTGACAGAGAGGCACACACACAGTGGACGAGGTGATTAAGTGACTGTTACATTTAAATCCGGCTCAAAACCAGGACGGCTTGGCAGTTGGCGCATGCACAATTTATTTGCAGTCTCGACCTATGGTCTCGACGCGGGAGAGTGTGGCTGTCTCCTCTCTGCTCTGACTGCAGCTGAGCTGCTGCGGGAGGCAACTGAGCGCCTGTGAGTACTATGGGAGGGCAAAGGGGCTCACGGCAGCACCCCCGGCTCGTTAACAGCAGAACAATAAGTGAGTCTCCAAACACCAGAAAAGTCCCTAATAACACCATTACAAGTCGTTAGATTAGTCGTTAGTTGCTTTTGACAAAAATAAGTAGCTGGAGTGTTTGGAAAGCCGCCAAATTTAACGACAAAGTCGCCAAGTTGGCAACACTGGTCTCACAATAATAAGAGCGCTGTTAGGAGAGATGACGAGTGGCATTCACAGTGGCCAATCAGAGTGGCACTCAAACCGGATACGTCACACGGGATGAGGGTTCCCAACCAACCAGAATTGTTTAAACTAAGGAAGTAGCGTAATTCATATACCGATAGCAGCACCTTTTGTCCAGCGGCTTAATGGTATACCAATACCGTCCAATCAGGTACCGGTACTGACTTAGTACCGGTTCTCGATACCCATCCCTAAACATGATAGTATATAAAACCATGCTCGTATCTATACAACCTATAGAAATGCAAAACAGCCTCAGTTTAGACGCAATTATGTCCTTCTGCATACCGCATCATTTATGAGAATACATGTCATAACATGTATAGTAGTGGTGGTCTAATGGATAGTGAGGTGGGCTGAAGATCGGAAGGTTGTGAGTTCAAATCCCGCCTGGAACACCACCACTAGTGTGCCTTGAGTAAGGCACTTCTCCAGGGAGAATGTCCCTGTAATTCGCAATTGTAAGTCGCTTTGGATAAAAGCGTCAGCTAAATGAAATGTAATGTAATGTAATAACATTAAAGGTAGGGTAGGTAAGTTTGAGAAACCGGCTCGAGATAGCTAGAATTTGAAAATACACGACCGGAGAAAATCTGGTCTTATAGAGCCCCTCCTCCAAGGCCTGGTCTCAGTTGGATAGTCAGTAAACTGTCACAGTATTTTTCAGGGCCAACTAAACAACACTGGTTCAGTGCTAAACATGTCTTGAGATACTTAAAGGGCACAATAAATCAGGAGTTATGTTTTAAGCTTCAAGATGAAAAACTGGAACTTCTTGCATACTGTGATATGGAGTATAACAGGGTACTGTTT